GGCCATACAATCAACCTTCCCCTATCAGATGCTGCTTTCGGATTTTAAATAGGTGGAATCGTTTAGGAGAAAATGAGCCGCACATTTGGCCGCGCAGGCCCTGGCCCGCCCGTCGTTGCCTCTCCATCCCCTTATACTCTCATGGTGAAACGCAAGGATTCGGAAGATCATTTCTTAACACTAACGGCCCGCACCCAGAAGACCGTTTAGTCCATATAACCAAATTCAAAACCGACGAAATTTTAGCTCTTGGGACTAAAATTTTATTCGTGGCGATGAAATAATTTGGTCTAGATGACTTAATTTGATTGGTGCGACTATATTTAGTTAAAAATAGGGTTACTAAGTTTTAGTCGGTTTTAGGAACTAAATTTTGGTTCTTACAACCCTGATTTAGTTGTATCAACTAAATGGTTCTCTGGGTGCGGCCGAGATTCCCGATTTCCTAGAACGGCGAAAGGGGTCCTTTTGACCCCTACCCCTAATTAATAATTACGCAAATTTCATCAAAACAATGTCGTGTACACTTAGTTGGAAACTATAACAGTGCACAGGAGAACAGGTAAACACCTGGAATACCGGAACATTCTGCTAACGGGAAGAAGGGGACAAGAGGATAAACCCAAATGATCCCTTTTCTGTCTTGGACTGCGTATTTACTACTCTAATGCAAAAAAAATGACACCTTCGGTAAAATTTAACAGCGTACCGCTGTACTCAGCGGTCTTCGACCGCCCCGCGGACGGGATGCGATCACCTCGGTGATCGGCCCGGACCGCTCCCGGCCCGCGCTCACCTGGCGGCCGTACACCTCGCAGACCCCGCAGCACTTCCGGCCTTATCCGGTAGTGCGTGCGATAGAAGGGAGAAGGCGCCGAAGTTATCAGTACGGGTCGCGACGGATAAGCCCGCGCAATGCGTGGTCCAGTACGTTAAATACGGCGCCAGGTAGCCGAGCTAGGCAGTTCAGCTAGTACCGAGGGTACCTCACTTCGTCTGATCAGTGTACGGTCTAAAAACTAATCGTATTCCAATCACATTACGTTCATTTTCTAATCACTCCAATTACTCCGATCATTTCCACAAATCAATCAAATTTTCTCAAAACTAAAGTATGTTTAGTGGCATTTTCCTGTGAATTTCCTTGCACATTGAACTGTTCTAACCCTCACAAAAGGTGAAATAGCACGCTACAAACTTTTTTTTTAGTTTGCAATGTCCAAGAAGCTCCATGTAAATCAAAAATCAGTCTACGTACACTATTTTTGACAAAATGTCTTCAGTTTGCACCCCACATACCTCACAAAATTGAATTTTAGGATCACGGAACAAAAAGTCTTTGTTGTGGGGATCAGTTCTGTTTGGTAGACTAAATTCGATTTCTGGAATCAAGAATCGGATACTCACAAGCAGAAGTTCGTTGACACGACCAGACACTTGTACGAGAGAACCAAGCTGGAGTTTGTTCTCTTCGTACAAGCGTCCGGTCGGGGCAACCAACTTCTGCTTGTGAGTATCGGATTCTCGATTTCATCTATCGAATTTAGAATACCGAACATTATTGATCCTCACGACAAAGTCATTTTCTTCCGTGAATTTCTTTCCGTTTTCTCCAGTCACAAAACATTACCAATTCCAATCAATTTCTGTTCAAATTCTAATCAGTCCAATCAATTACCAATCGATTTCCAATCAATCTCCAATCACTTGACTCCAGTCAGTGTACACCTACTATAGGAGTGAGGTACCCCTCGGCTAGTACAGTCGGTCGGCGCGTCGCTATGCCAGTCAGCAGTTTCGGCCTGCGGTGCCCCGTCAGCGGAGCAGACTAGGCCATTAGGAAATTTTGGTGTGAGTAACCCCGGGTGAACGTGACCCGATCATGTACCTACCGACTTGTGACTCCCTGAACCCGACAGTGCATACCCAGGTGGGCCTAAGACTTTCACCCCCGGTAGAGACTCAACCTACGGTCCCTCCGCCAACAAGGGTATGACAAATTGTGAATATTTCGAAAAGTTCTGAACCTAAAAATATAACCGTTTGCATCAAAGCGTGTCTTGGCAATTTATTAAAAGTCAGGAAGCGCCAGGCCGATGAAAAACAATTTTCATACCTTTTTGGGCAAATGAAAAGTAAAAATGGTCAAAATGACCCCTTCGGCCGTTTTAGTGTTAAACAAAAACTACAAATTGCAGGGAAACGGACGAGACACCGTCTACTAAAAAAAAAGAATTGGACTACAATTTGATATAATACAGCAGTATAACCCTCCGGGAACGTGCTCTTCTTTGCCATGACTCAGACGGGTCCACTACTTGGTGGCGAGCACGACTTCAAACAGAGGAGATTTTGACAAACAAGGGGAATTCCTTAAAGTTTTCCCTTTTCCTTCCAAAAATGAGACATTGTTTTTACCGTGGAATGTCTCTTTCTGGCCTTAAAGTAGCCATTCTGTAGCCATTCTGTAGCCAGTCTATAGCCATTCTATAGCCACTCTACAGCCATTTTATGCGGCAGGAGAATATCAATGGCTAGAGGCTGTTTTCTGTCTGTCTCCGGGGCGGCTCTTGCGTAGCCATCCTGTAGCCATCGTAAAGTCACATTTTTCTGTACGGAAGAGTTCCGGTAATATGGCACTATAGTTTACAATACAATTATTGAAGCAGAAATTATCTCATGTTTCGATAAGGGCTACGAAATTGAAGCGTTGGTACCCGATGTCAGTAATTTAAAATTGGCACTTAGTGCTGTAAGTTTATGTAGTAGTGTGTCACTTTTTTTGACGAAATTTCTGGTATATGCGCCACTGTCTAACAACGGAATTGACGTCGTCACGACCCACACGTTTAAGAGTTGTTTCCTATCAGAAAAGCACACCTTTTTAAGCGTGGCTGGCAACTCCGTCTAGTAGAGAAGAGCGGGCCTGGTTCGTCGTTTGGTGCATTCCTCTACAAAGTTCGATACCCCCTAAGCAAAACCGCTCAGCGACCCAGAAGTGAGCGAACAACCGCTCAGCGCACGGGTGGCTGGAAACAACTCAGGATCATTCGAAAGAGAATTTCCGTCTCTTTCCAATGATACCAATATTACATTTTCTATAAAAATGCGACTCAAGCGGTTATCGGGAGCGTCGCGTGCGCTGAGCGGTTATTTCCAGCCACCCGTGAGCTGAGCCGTTGTTCGCTCACCCCTGAGTCGCTGAGCGGTTGTTCGCTCACCTCTGGGTCGCTGAGCGGTTTTGCTTAGGGGGTATCGAGTTGGCATTTAAAACAACTTATTTTTGTAGGACCATTATTTTTTGTGACAGGTGTCAAACCCTTTTTAACGAATGTTTTCTGCCGCAGGAACCAGACGGGAAACTTTTATCTCACCACCAACAGGGCCTCTCCATTCGGAAAGGGTCAACAGGGAGTCACGATCAATGCGTAGAGGCACCCGTTCTTGGTTTGAGTGGGGTGAAAACCTCGGACCGACACAGTAGATATGCAACAGTACTTATTAAAGATATCCAAAAATGAGCTGCAATGTGCATTTCAACCCATCCGTAGTCCAGCTTTTGAAGTCCCGGAAAGGGCCTGAAATGTCGAGGGACCATTTTTGTCCATCCAATATGCATCTGTGCGCGCATCTTGCAAGATGTAATTTTGAATTCAGAGAAGTGACAAATTTGTTGGACACCTGGTAAAGATGTGCACAAAAATGCGACTTCCTATTGACAAAAAAAGGGCCCTTAAGATTTAGTGTGACATGGCCATCCAATAAGTTCTCCCAAAATGTTATCACTTTTTCTAGACCTCTATCAAAGACCTCGAAAACAGACAGTAACCAGCATCCTAAAACAATTATTAACCCTCTAAGGCATGAGCCTGGCGAAATTGACCAAAGTTGAGTATTCGAGTTGTGACAACCAAGGGAGTGTCTAAGAATCATTTTGAGCCCTCGTGGGGTGTTCTAGCATATACGGTTCAGGATTGCTGAATGTCGTTTATCAACGACATCATGCCTTAGGAGTCACTCGACATGATTTCTTATTTTATTTTTAAAGTGGATGAAAATTTCAGGAGTTGTCTGCGTTGGATTAATGATCACATTTCACCCAAAAAATGCCAATAAACAGACGAGTGGCCAACAAGTGTTTTGGGGTGATTTTTGAGGGGTGTTAGTAAAAAGAACGATTTAGACGGCAATTCTTCGAGAAATATAGGGTAAACTTAGGTTGGTTGTACGGAAAAGTGTAAGAAATAAAACTTGACGAGTAAAAAAATACACTTTTCTCAAAGACAGTGCCTCAAAAACCTGCTCGAAGTCGAACGTCGTTTTAAAACGACCTCATGCCTTAGGCCTTAGGGGTCACTCGACATCATCGAAAATCAAAAAATTGTAACTAATCAACTTTTTTGGTTTCTGGTGCTTTATCAATGAGTACTGAGGCAATATCGAGTGTCGTAGTTCTGAATATTGAGTGTCGTTGTACTCATTTCAATGTTTCGACCTTCGGAGCAAAACGCGCACTTTAGTGCAAGTTGCCATTTTTGAGCGCAATTTTTCCTATGATGCATTCGTCATACGGTCTTCCGAGTTCCCGAGATGCTTTTGAGCATGCATATGTTAAAACACCACTTTGAACTACCGTTGTTGTTTTAAAACGACACATGTCGTTTTAAAACAACAAAGCCCCCCCGAAAAGCGTTCTTACTTGCCTGTATCTATCA